GTCATGATCCCAGGGTCCTGGGATCGAGCCCCACATCGGGCTCCCTGCTCCGCAGAAGCCTGCTTCTCCCTCTCCCACTCCCCCTGTTTGTGTTCCCTTTCTTGCTGTGTCTCTGTCAAATAAATAAAAGAAGAAGAAGAAGAAGTGGCAAACTCTAAAACATCCCTTGGAACCCTACCAGTGTTTCTTCAATCAAATAAATAAGATGTCCTTATTTTTGTCTAACCAAATTCTTGCTCTTATCTTTTTAAATCCCATTTCCAATTTGGTTTTATACAAAGAGGTCAAATTCTTCACAAAAATTATGCATCTACTGTAAGACTAGTATTAAAATTACACTCTTCATTCTTCAGAGTACATACCTGTGATTCCTGCAACACTGTTAATCTAAACTTAATGTTGTATCTTATGTACTTTCAAACCTCTCCAGTTTTTCTACATCTTTTAACAAATAAATTGACCAAAACAGGATACCAATGAATAAGAAACAATTTATAAATAAATAAACCCAATACTAACATGGCCAAAAAAGAAAACTCTGAAAAAAAGAGATCAGTCAACTATGCTATGGTCCCCATACTAGGACAGAGGACAAGAAGAGAAAAAAATTACAGTCTCAGAAATTCCAAAAGTTCATTCTCCAGCAGTGGAATCTGTTGTTTCCTCACAAAACACTCCGATTTTCACAGCCACCAAGCCTTTACGACCTTCCCATCCCCAGGCAAGAAAAAGCATCCCCTGCCCTCCGCCCCAAAAAGCTCTTGTGACTATGAATTCACTGAAGTTCTCTCTCCCAGAACAGGCAGGTGGCCCTCATGGGGTCTTCTTAGCTACCACCTCAATTCTATTAGAACCCAATGCTGCTAACTAATTATACAACTGTTGAAACCACTTCCTATAATCTTTTATTTCCTTTAAAATCAAAGATTCATTTTTCTGAGCTTAAGAAGAAGAAAAAGGGTTGAGAAGAGATGAAGGGAGAAAGCAAAGAACGAGAACTCTTTTTTTTTTTAAGTGAATTGAGCTGATAGGATTCGTTTTCCCATAATGTGAAAATATACCTTTAACATAATTAAGAGGCATGTGTGAATAAAAGGCAGGATAAGAAAACTTTAACAACAACAATTAGATTACAAAACAGACAGAAATACAGAAAATAAAGCTAATAAAAAGAGAAAAGAGAAAAGACAGTAATTTAAAAAATGGAGACAGACTACAAGATGCAAAAACAGAGTTGTAATCAAGGAAAAGAAAATAGAAATCTGTCCCAAAACAAGCAGCAGAGTTATGGATGCAAAATGTAATTTCATTTTGTGTTTCTTTTTAAAGAAAGCAATAATGTGGCTATTTGAAATTAGTTTCAGGGAACATAAGACTGATTTCAGCCCATTAATGTACATGGGAGAGATTCAAATATTAAGGGATTTTATGACAAAGACATCTAGAAAATGAAGGATTGAGTCAGGAATAAATAGCCATAAAAAACATTGGTAATTCAACAATACTCTTCCAAGTTTAGGCTGGCCTTCATACCTCTCTGGTGATACACTGAACAGGAAGCAATTCAAATAAAAATACAGGGAAGAAGATACTGGATGTGCTACTTCTACTTCTATCTCTTGGACCCATGTGAGTCATGGCAGCAGCTAGTAAAATCCTAAGGGGTTAAAGTCCACCCCATACCCAAGACCAAAAACTACTCCCACCCCACCTTGGCTCAATGGTTTTCTCCCACTGTGGTGAGGGTGGTTTTGGAAAAGCTCCTCAAATGCCAGGAAACACTGTAATACAAAAAGAAAAAACAATTCATAAGTACCAAAACTTAACTAACATTTTGGCCTCCCTCTCAAGGAAGATTGGTATAGTGGAAAAAGCATAAGTCTAGGAACCAAGGAACCAAGAAACCAAGTGTATTCTGCTTGTTCAGCATTCATTCTAAGATGTTTGCTATATTCTAGGTGACTTGGTAGGGGAGGACATCAAACACTCCCTTTCTACTAAGGGTTAGTAAACTCGTAGAACATAAGCCAGAAGCTGCTGATGGTCATCTCTGCCATTAACTGGGCTGAAAAAAGAAGCCATCAGAGAAGCTAGTAGAACTAAGGGACTTTAGTAGACTAAAGAGACATTCCTGGTGACACAATTTAAGAACCAGGCTCCAGGTTCTTTCTGTAGATATTTTCTCCCTTAAGTTGGTCTGTAATGGGTTTCTGTGACTGCAACTAAGTCTGGCCAATACACTTGGGTTCTAATTCCACCCTGAATCTGGACAAGTCATTCCTCATTTATTAGCCTTAGTTTCTTTTTCTATCAAATGGATCTGAGGTTTTTCAAAGTGTTTTTTAGGTAATGGGATTTTTAAATAAAAATCATATTTTGATATCAAAAATTAAAATGGCTTTATTCATATAAATGTATTTTATTAAGATCCGGTTTACATTTACTTCTGACCAAGATAAATAAGAACAATGGATATTTAAATCTCACCTGAAGACTGAAAATAAAAATGTCTCTCTTAGTACAATGCACTTTATAAGATTAAATGTATGGCATTTACTATTATGACCAAAATTAATGATAACAATGATGTGCTTTGATTAAAACAAAACTTTAAAATTGGAGACTAATGGTAAAAGTTGAAATCTGTTATTAATCTCTCAGGATTCTATTTATTTCTGTATTTTGTTTTGGTTGCACATTAGTTAAGACAATTCTGATTCAAAAAGAATAGTTGCAAGAGTAACATATGTTTTCTACATATGCCTTACCCCATGATACTATTTAATTAAAGGTGGAGAAAAGTTTTGGGTTCTGCACAAAAAACCTGATAAGCACAAGTTTTTTTTAAATAGATCTCCAATTGGTTAAGACTTAGTACATAACATAGTAAACATTCAGGTATGTTGGTTTATTTTTTAATGATTTAAACCTCATGTAAAAATTAAATTTTTTTTAAAAAGATTTTATTTATTTATTTGACAGAGCGAGAGAGGGAACACAAGCAGGGGGAGTGGGAGAGGGAGAAGCAGGCTTCCCGCCAAGCAGGAAGCCCAATGCAGGGGTCGATCCCAGGACCCTGGGATCATGACCTGAGACAAAGGCAGATGCTCAACAACTGAGCCACCCGGCGCCCCATAAAAATTAAATCTGAACCAACTGTTTATAGTATTCAATTAATGCTCTCAAAGAACTCATAAAGATAATCTCTGAATTCTTTGAAGAACATTTTCAGTCAGATTCATATACACTCACTGCCCATCAGAAATTGTAATGAAGCAAATATAAAAAGTTATTTCTTTTTTTATAATAAACCTGCTTTAAAGAAAAGAAACACAACCTTGGAGAATTATGAACACAGACGAACAATAAATTGGGTCAAATAAGAAGACTATAATAATAATCTATTCAGTCTTACTGAGAACCAACTTGATGGGGCAGATCATAGAAGGTGCTATAAAATAACCATTATTTAAGAGTGCCTTCTTTACAATGGAAATGAGTAACTCTCCATCTCTAACTTCAAGAAGTTATCCATCTAGCAGAGGGGACAATACATTCATTCATTCAACAAAAGTCTCCCTCAGTGACACCAGCCACTGTGCAAGCAACTGGAGATAAAAAGCGAACTCTCTCTCTCTCTATATATATATAGATTTAATATATAGATATAAATATATATATGATCCCTACCCTCACAAGTTTAGACATTAACCTAAAGACAGTAGATAATCAATAAAGACTTTAAACAAGGAGAATGTGTAATTAGGTTAACATTTTTGAAAGACAGCACTGGCTACTACATGAATGTTATTATGATTTGGAGGAAGTAACCCAAGGACAGACTGATTAGGAGCTACCGCATGATGACAAAGTAACAGGAAATCAAGAGGGAACAACAAACTCAGCTGAAGTATGTGGAAACAAAAATTTCAGAGAAGTAATGCTGTAGCTCAACCTTAACATATCCAAAGAGCAGGCCAGACAAGTAGAGAAAGGGAGTTTGTGCAGAAGAGAAAATCATATGAAAGGCGTATTTGGGAAACTTCAAGTAGATCCTCACAGTGAGTCTTGAATGTGAATCATAGCTAGAAAGGTAGATCAAGGAAAAGCATAAAGGGTATTTGATAACATAAGGCAACATCTCCAAGACATTGGGGAGTACTTTTAAGCAGGGTGGTAACATAACCAGGTTTACATTTTAGAAAGATTCTTCCAGGGATGGTGAGCTTAAAAAGACTGTTTTGGCTGGTTAAAAAGTCTAACCAGCCAAACAACAAAACGTTTGCCAACAGATACACTATCTCCAAGTCCTAATGTAGTAATTCATCATGACAACCGAATTATGGTCCAAGAACGTACTCTGAGCTTTAGAAACCAAGTAACTAGTACCAAGTACAGGCCACACTGCAGTTGATATGGCTATTAAAACCAAAAAGAAGGGACGTCTCTGCAGATAAAATACTAAAAGTGTAATGGTGGCAGGAGATAAATGGAATGAAAAGGAAAAAACAGTTACTAAGAAAATAGGGAAATAATAGAGAATTTTATTTCAGGGGAAGAATTACTTGCACTTACTGTGTCAAGATCTACCAAATCTACCTCTTATATGCAAAAAATAATAAATTGTGGTTCCTGACAAGCAGTTCAAAAACCAAATTTAACTTAATACACAGTACTTAAGAAAATAACCAAACAAAAACTAGATTAGAAGCAGCAAACTATTACAGAGGACCAGCTCTACACTAGCTAACTTCCCAATGCTTAAAAAGAAAGCTCTCTCTGCCTGGCTGGTCCTTGAAGATTACCAACTAAAATGGGGATAAGGTGGGGTGAGGTGAAGGAGGATCAGGAAGGTTCATGACCAATGAACTAGACAAGTTCTGGAGTGCTCTCATCCCAATTCTCTTTCTCTATATATAACAGATATTACTCAGATACAAACATGACAACACATATAATGAAGAATCCAATTATTTTTATCTTAAGATAATGAATCCTACCTTTCCTGGGTCATCCTTTGATCGAGGCACTTTAAGGAAACACTTGTTCAGTGACAGATTATGTCGTATGGAATTCTGAAATTAAAGAAGAAAAGCCACAGGGTCATTGGAATACAAAAAACAAAACTCACCTTTAAAAACAGAATCAGAAGCCTAAATATCTCTATGCACTAGAATACAATTTCAAGTGGAATAAGCTTTTTAAATGAACTTCAAATTTAAACCTTTCTAATTTTCAAATTATGAATGCTGCAAAGAAAAGTAGCTAATGGAAAAAACAGCTTTTAGTAGACTTTGAAAAACTCCAAATAATGAAATATATATCCTATTTTAAATATTTATTAAGACCTTTTAGGAAGATCTAATCATAGGAAGATGTCTTTAATGTTAAATATTAAACACCAAATATAAAATTGTATACACATTATGACTTTAATTGTGGTATTTATTTATTCATTCTTTTTTTTAAGTAGGCTCCACGCCCAAGGTGGGGCTTGAACCACGACCGTGAGAGCAATAGATGCATGCTCTACCAACTGAGCCAACCAGGCACCTCTCATTCATTCATTCTTAGAATAAGCCAGAATGCAAAATGCTAACAGTTATTCTACTGAATTATAGGTGATGATAACTCTTTTTTTTTCTTTCCTGCAATGTTTAAATGATCTACAAGGCACATGTATTATCATCTTCTAATGAGATAAAAAAAAAAAAATGTTTAGGCAAAAAAAATTTCACTGCTCCATTACAAGAATATAAAGAAGCCAATTAGGTTCTTACTTCAATCCGTAAGAAAACACATTAGAAGACACTGGCTACAGAGGACTAGCAAGAACATCTAGGTTCATCAATACAGCAAGAAAGAATAACCATCTTGAATGGCAAGAAAATGTACCTGGAGACCTGAAGAATCTGTGAAACAGGCAATCTTTTCATGAATAAGTAGGACTGTGCCACAATTTTTACAGAAAATACCCAAAAGCCATTTCGTTTTAATGAAATGCTCCAAAATCCATCCCATAATTTTTATGCCAAAATGGCCAGGTATTTGGGGGAAATGGGCTCCAACAGCATTTAGCCACCACTTAGAATTTTAGGAGAGCATTTTGGGCATATCTTATTTTTTAACATAAAATTCAGAACTCTAACAACAATGCCTATATGAAAACTTCCCTCTCATAGAGGAATAATGGGATTACAAAGTTTTTTAAAAATGATCACAGAATATAGGGGCGCCTGGGGGGCTCAGTCGTTAAGTGTCTGCCTTTGGCTCAGGTCATGATCCCAAGGTCCTGGGATCGAGCCCCGCATCAGGCTCCCTGCTCCGTGGGAAGCCTGCTTCTCCCTCTCCCACTCCCCCTGCTTCTGTTCCCTCTCTCACTGTGTCTCTGTCAAATAAATAAAAATCTTTAAAAAATAAAAATGACCACAGAATATAAATTCAAGCCTATCTTATTACCAAACATCAATTTCAAATTTAAGAATGGGAGTTCCACCTCTGCTTGGGATATAAACAGCTACAATGAGTAATGATCCCTCCCAAACGATGAGAAAACAATGGGTAAGCCAAAACAAAACAAAACAAAAAACCTATTTCTGAGCCACATCAGAGAGTTGAAGCTGCAAGGCAGCCCAACAAATTAAATTCCTAAGAAGGACAAGCCCATACAAGGAGAAAGCAGACAAACTATCTCACCTTTTTGGCAGAGTATGGGAGAATGAAGTGGCCATCATCCAAGCATCCAAAAAACTAGCTAAAATTTGTAAGGTCAAGCATGGGCTGGTGTGTCAGTTTAGAACAGCAAGGGCCCCAAACATAAGGGAAGTTCCCATTCACTCTCCAAGCTCTTCTCCATGGGCCTTTACTATATACTCACAGAAAAGAATGGGGACGAGAAAGGAAAACAAAGTCTCCTTTGTAGCATAAGCAGAAAGGAGGTAATAGATAGCTGTAGTGGGAACAAAGCCCTACCACCTTCAAAAGATCTCACAAAGCCAACTTTAACTGTGAGGTAAGAGCAGCAAAACTTCTCACCCACAGGACTCTGGCAAAGATAGATTCTGAGGGAAGAATGGAAACGAAAACCCTTCTCAAGACACAAGCAAAGATCTACTGCTGGCTGGTAGAGAAAGAGTACCTCTTTTACCTCTGGGACAACTGTTGGAAACTACCTTGGACCCGGGACCCTACATCAAAAGCAACTACAGGCACAGGCTTGTATGGCTGAAGGAAAACACTGAAAAGGCCCGACCCCAAGTACAAGGGCCGGAGTAAGAATGCTGAATCAAGAAAACAGAGGGACACCTGGCTGGCTCAGTGGGTAGAGCATGTGACTCTTTATCTTAGAGTAGTATAGTTCAAGCCCCACGTTGGGCATAGATAAAATGAAAAATAAAATAAAATGAAGGAAAAAAAGATAAAAATAAAAATAAAATGAAGAAAGAAAGAAAAGAGAGAAAACCCACAGCCCCTACCCCAAACCTAGCAGTGAGTAACAAACATTAACAGCCTATTGATAGAGGAGGGGCAGGAACATGGAGAGATCCCCATCTGTAGCAAGGTAGGCAGAGACAACTAAAATCTAAAGGGAAAAGAGGAAAACAGAAAATTCTACAGTACCCAAGCCCCTCATTTCCAAGCACAGGTAATAAGAGCCTACCACTGGAGGAATGTAAAGTCTGTGGTATACTGAAGGTAAAGATACCACCAACAAAACCCAAATTCAACTCAATTATTGACAAATTGATTCAACTCCCTAAACAAATGGCCTGGGAAAAAAGATGTTTGTCCATCTACAGGTATAAATACTATTTATCTTGGAGTGCCTGGGTGGCTCAGTTGGTTAAGCACTGACTCTTGATTTTCGCTCAGGTCACGATCTGTGTTGTGAGATCCACACTGGTCATGGAACCTGCCTAAGATCCTCTCTCTCCCTTCTCCCTCTGCCTCACTCCCACCCCCAACCATGCTCACTTGCTTGATACCATTTATCTCAATCTCTACCATTCTTCTACACATGTATCTGGCACTCAGTCAAAAATTGCAAGACACATTAGAAATGCAAAAAAAAAAAAAAAAAAAAATCCACTGTCAAGAGATAAAATTATCAATACCCAAATGAAAGGTGCTAGAACTATGAGACCAGAACTTTAAAGTAACTATGACTAATATGTTCAAGGACCAAGTAGAAAAAGCAGTAACTTGCATAGAGAGATGCGGAACTTCAACAGAAATGTGGAAACTCTAAGAGCCAAATGTAAATGATAGAATTTAAAAACGTGATCAAAGATAAAGAACTCCCTAGATGGGTTCATCAGTAGACTGGACACAACCAGAAAAAGGCTCAGATATTTTGAGGACAGATTAACAGAAATTATCCAAATTGACACACATGCGTGCACAAGTACTTTAAAAATACACACACACACACACACACACACACGATCATTCAAGAACCATGGAACAATATATGTGAGTCCCAGAAGGAGAAGAGAAAAAGTATGGAGAAGAAAAATGTGAAGAAGGAACAGCCAAGAATCTTCTGAAAATAATGCAAGACATTAAATCACAGATACAAGAACTTCAGAGAACACCAAACAGAAGAAATTAAAAATTCACACACCTATATTCATTATAGGTCAAAATGGTGAAAATCAAAATGAAGATAATATTGTGAAGGCACCAAAAGGAAAATAAATTATGTACAGAGGAATAAAGATAAAAATTATAGCAGATGTCTCAAAAACTGCAAGTTAGAAGACAAAAGAATGACATCTCCAAAATACTAAAAGAAAAAAAAGTATTCTATATGCAGTGAAAACATCTCTCAAAAATGAAGGCAAAATAAAGACTTCCAGAAAAGCAAAAGCTAAAAGAATTTATTTTTTTCTAGTGTCAGTTGGCTGGTAATGTTATACAGAAGTTCTTCAGGCAGAAGTGTAACAAATAGAAACCTGGATCTACAAAAAGAAATAGAGTTCAAGAAATTATAAAAATGAAGGTAAATTTTAAAAACACTTTTTCTTATTTATGACATCTTTAAAATATAACTATCTAAAGAAAATATAATAATTATGTGGTTTATAACATATGAAGGAAAATGTATAACAACAGCACAAAGGATGGGTCAAAAGAATTAGAAATAGAAAGTTTATAAAGTTCTTACACTATACATAAAATGGTATATTTGAAGGCAGACTGTGATAAGATAAAGATACATGTGGTAAACCCTACAGAAGGCACTAAAATTTAGGAAGAGGTATAACTAATAAAATAATAGAGAGAAAATGGAATCACAAAAAATAGCCCAAATCTAAAAAAAGACAAGGAAAAAAAGAACTAATAAAACAAACCAGAGTTCATCTACCCATCTTAAAAGTTCAAGATGGGGAGAAAAGAAAAATCAAGATGGTCACATTTTTTTTCTAAAAGGCCTTGGGAAGGACACATCTCTCCTTGGGGCTTCCTCCTCTACAAAAAGCTTAAATGTTGGAAATCGTCAAGGCTCTGCCCTAAGTCCTTTTTTCATTTCCACATTTGCTGCCTATGTAATCTCATCTACAGCCATGGCTTCAACGACCATCTGTGACAATCTATCTAGACCTCCAAACTACACCTGTCTCCTGAGTTCCTAACATATATATTTTTAACAATCTACTAGACATCTCCAGAAACACCTTAAACTCAACTATGTTTAAAATTAAACTCAATCTTTATCCCCAGTGTGATCTTCCAGTTTTCTCTTCTCAAGTTAAAGACAATTATTCATGTAACAGCTCCAATCAGAAAGCTTTAAGACATCCTTAATTCTTCTCTCTTCTTCACCATCTAAAATAAATCTGTTAGCAGATCTTAAGTCTACCTTTGACCTACCTACTTTATTCCATCTCTTCTGTCACTATCTCAGTCCAGGACATCATTCTCACCAAAAACAGTACAAGCTTCATAATTGGTGTCACCCTCCACCTTCCTCTCTTTGTCCCTACTCCACCATGCTCTACCTCGCAGGCAGTGATCTCTTCACAAGGTAAAAATTCAATATTACCCCTTCACTTAAAACTTTCCAATTACGTCC